GAGAGAGAGAGAGACGAGTGTAGAGTCGTGTGTGTGTGTGTGTGTGTGTGTGTGAGAGAGAGAGAGAGAGAGAGAGAGAGACCAGGTGAGAATCGGGGCTCTGTGTGTGTGTGTAGAAGCAGGACTGGTGTGTGTTGGGCACGTGGGTCGCACTGCAGGAGGAGTGTGTTGACGTGTGTGTGAACGGTGTGCGGTGCAGTCTGGCCATGTGGCGCACAGCTGGACAGTTTTGCCGAGTCAGCCCGCTGCTCGGCATCCAGGATCACTGCCAGCCACTAACGGGGCCCTCGGGGGCTCTCCGGTGCCCCGTGGGCACAGCACCTCGGGGCTCGGGTAGTGCAGTGAGGTTGGCACTGGGTGGCAGGGGGACTATGGGGGGCGAGCTAGCAGGGAGCACTGGGGTCGGTTTGGTGTAGAAAATGCCGTTAGGTTTCTTAACTTGTGTTGGTGTCAGTCAGGCCCACCCCCTCCTGGGTTCTGTCTCCAGCTCTGGGAGGGGAGTGGGGTCTACTGGTTAGAGCAGGGGCGATCGAAGCCAGGCTCCTCTGGTATGCCCACCTCTGGGAGAGGAGTGGGGTCTAACGGGTTAGAGTGGAGGGGCTGGGAATCAGGAGCTCTGGGCTCTATTCCTGGCCCTGATGGGTGACCTTGTCAACTGTGCATGACTCAGTTTCCCCAGCTACCAACTGAGGCTCTGTGGTCAGCACGGGCCATTCCTCCTGCCTCGGACCACATACGTGCTATATCTCACCATTCTGACCCTGAGGTGGGATCCAGATTCCAGCAGCAGCTCCTAGGTCGCTCGCCAGCGGACGGGACCCAACAGCTGTTCTCAGCTTCATCTGGCCTCTTTTAAGAGCACCCCACCCTCCCCGCGAGTCACTGATAGGAAACCAGGCCACTTCCAGACGAAAAGAGCTGCATTCTAGTAAACAACCACGGCTACCACCAGCCAACCCCAACCGCTTCTTGTGTAACCCCATTCCCTTCGCAAGCGCCGTGAGCAACAGAGCCAGAGATGACGCAGGACAAGGGCCAGATGGTTCCGATAATGCAGTTGCACACGGCCGGAATGCAACATCGGCCAGGGAGTTTGGGGGCTCAGGGAGAACCCCTCCCCCCCTCTTTGCCATCTTCAGCCAGGGGCCCCTTTCTTTGTGTCTTAAGGACAGGGCCGGCTCCAGCATTTCTGCCGCCCCTCTCCCTTGGCCGCCCCAAGCACCTCTGGCCAGAGGTTTAGAGCTGCGAGAAAAAAAATGTCACCTGAAATGTGGTTGTGATGATAAAATGCAGATCCCGAGATGCCAATTTCAGGTCAGTTTTGCCAGCTTGTTCTGGGGGGGGGGAGAGGAGAGGGGGAAGAATCCGAAACAATCAAAATGTTTTCATTTTTTTGGTTAGAAATTTCCTTCTGCTTTATTTGTTTTTTTTTAAATCGAAAATGTAAATAAACCCCTCCCCCCAAACCAGGGGCGCTGGAACGTGTGTGTGTGTGTGTGTGACATGGCCCCTCCCACTTTTTACAGGCGGTAAGAGCGAGCGATGGAGGGAAGGAGTGGAGAGGAGCAAGGGGTGGGGGTCTTGAGGGGAAGAGGCGGGGCGGAGTTGGGGTCTCAGGGAGAAGGGGGCGGTATGAGGGCGGGGTCTCAGGGAGAAGGGGCGACCCTCTGCTGCCCCCTCGACTGGACCAAGGTGCCCCCCCCCTCTGATTGCTCTTTCTAGAGTGGCCAACAGTCCCTTCTTACATCTCCGTACAAGACCGAGAGTTGCAAAAAGCAGCAAGAAATACCCCTGGCCAGTGGCCCGCCCCAGTGACCGCATTTGAGAAGCGCTGCACGAGGTCATGATTCAGGCTACGATTTATCACGGGTATTTTTAGGAAAAGTCATGGAGAGGTCATGGGCAATACACGGAAATTCACGGCCCGGAACCTGTCCATGATTTGTACTATAAATCCCCCTGACTAAAACTTAGCTGCTGTGGGGGGTCTGGGGTCAGCTGCGGAAGTGTCACAGAATCCGTGACTTCAGCAACCCTGCATAACAAACCCGCAGCCTTAATCGGGATGGTCCCGTGGGACCTTAAAGCCCATGTGTCATGACTCCCGGGGCACAAACCCAGCCCCACAACGTTCATAGGAGCACCCACCTGCCAGCCGCCAGCCTGCTGCCCCTAGCCGCTGGCACCCTCGATTGGTGGAATCCCGCCTGACTGATGCCAGCAGATGTGCTGGAAGCTGTACGAATAAACTGGGCTCCACCCTGCTCCTTGATTTCCTGGCATCCAAGACTGGCTGGATGCCTGGCTTCTGATTGTAGCTCCCGATATCCAGTTTGCCTCCTGCTTCTGACGTGCCAGTGTCCTGATTTGCGACTGTGGTCTCTGGCTCTGACGGTGATGGCTGGCCGCCCACAACCCAGCCATGCACGAGGAGTCTATGAGCTGAAAAATTCCGTTCTGCAGTTGAGCCTCAAATGAATTTTTTCCCCCGGATTTTTCAGACTAGCAGCCAATGAACCGATCGGTCCGTTAGTCTCCTGGCTCTAGTTAGAGCGAGGGTGGGAAATCTGTCCTCGGGGACACAGACAAGACAGACAGACACAGATGCCTGCTAGCGGGTCTCCTGAAATTAGGTGTTCCTAAATACAGACGTGTGTTTAAGCCTCTTGTTCTTTTGAGATCCTTTTCTCTTATGTTGCCCCTGGGTACTAATTTCACTGCTATAGACATAGCATAAGTTTCTACGGCCAGAAGGCACGCCGTTACGGCCCGGGAGCAGCAAATGGGGGGGTTGCCAGGGAGCCCACCTGGTGAAGGAGGAGCTGTTACATGGCCGTGGGGGTGTTGCTGCGTGCTTGTTTGCTTGCCAGGTGCCTGCTTGAGATGAAATTCAGTGCCGATAAATGCAAAGTAATGCACACAGGGGAAACCATAATCCCAGCTCTGCATACGAAATGATGGGGTCTAAATTAGCTGCTACCACCCAAGAAAGATCTTGGAGTCACTGTGGATAGTTCTCTGAAAACATCCACTCAACATGCCGCAGCAGTCACAAAAGCGAACAAATGGAAAGGGACAGATAATAAGACAGTAAATATCATATTGCCACTAGATAAATCCATGGCATGCCCGCACTTTGAATACTTCAGGCAGTTCTGGTCACCCCATCTGGAAAAGGCTATATTAGAATTGGAAAAGGTACAGAGATGGGCACCAAAAATGATGAAACAGCTTCCACATGCAGAGACATTAAAAAGATGGGGACTGTTCAGCTTGGAAAAGAGACGACTAAGGGGGGATATGAGAGAGGTCTATAAAATCATGACTGGTGTGGAGAAAACGAATAAGGAAGTGTTATTTACCCCTTCACATAACATAAGAATCAGGGGTCACTCAATGAAATTAACAGGCAGCTGGTTTGAAACAAACAGAAGGAAATACTTCTTCACTCAACGAATTGTAAACCTGTGAAACTCATTGCCAGGGGATGCTGTGAAGGCCAAAAGTATAACTGGATTCAAAAAAGAACTGGATCAGTTTCTGGAGGACAAGTCCATCAGTGGCTATTAGCCAAGATGGTCAGGGACACAACCCCTGCTCTGGGTGTCCCTAAACCTCGAACTGGCCGAACCTGGGAGTGGACAACAGGGGGTGGATCACTTGCTAATCACCCTCTTCTGTTAATTTCCTTTGACACATTTGGCACCAACCACTGCTGGAAGACAGGATACTGGGCTAGATGGACCACTACTCTGAGCCAGGAGAGTTATGTTCTAGATTACATCACTTCCATTAAATTAACCACTTGCCCAAAGGCAGTCAATGAGTAAGTTGCGGAGCTGGGAAATGAACTCAGGCTCCTCAAGTCTGCAGCCGGTGCCTTAACCACAAGCCTGCCTTTCCTTCCGTCGGGTCTGGGAAGAGCATCCCAGGCTCTGCCCCCCTCCGGGAAGAGGTGAGTGGGATTACATCCCGCTGCACTCGGGGCTTTGCCAGCAGAGGGGAGCCTGCTCTGAAGGACATCTGGGTCTCTTGGAACCGGACGGCGCCACACTCAGATCAAAGGAGCTTGCTAGCAGAGCGGGGGTGGGTCTTGCGATTAAGGCCCCGGCCTGGAACGCCGATGACTCGTTTTCCCTTTGTGTCTCTGCCACCCACCACATAACCTTTGGGCATGTCCCTTCAGCCCAGATCCCAGAACCTGGCTCTTCATTATTATTATTTGTATCTGTATTTCCCAGGAAGACCAGGACCCCACTGTGCCAGGCACTGTACATTTCTATTGCTTTCACAGCTCACGAGGGGATATTGACCCCAGCTCGGGAAATCATCGTTTCTGCAGCTCAGCTCCCCTGCTGTGAAAGGTGAGATTCTCACACGCCCTTTCCCCCACCTGGCCCGGTTTGGGTGGAAAAGCTCATCCGCAGGGGGGAGGTGTCCTGGCATGAGGGAGGGAGGGAATTTAAAATGCTGGAGCTATTCTGAGATAAAGGTGTCCAGGGCGGGGTGGGGTGACTATTTCGGAATAGCTACTCTAGACAAGGCCTCAGCGCCCTCCTCCGGGGATGGGCAAGGGTGCTACATTGATCGGTATCCTTAAAATGCCTCGTGAGAAAATAAGAACGGCCGTACTAGATCAGACCAAAAGTCCATCCAGCCCAGTGTCCTGTCTTCCGACAGTGGCCAATGCCAGGTGCCCCAGAGAGAATGACCAGAACAGGTGACCATCAAGTGATCCATCCCCTGTTGCCAGTGGTGCAAGTGGAAATCATTTCTTGCTGGTACTGCACTCATGGGAGGGACACAAGGGGCAGCACGTGACCTCCCCACCTGACCCTCCATGTGACACCTCCCCGCCCCCCCCCAGCCTGGGGCCCCCACGCTCTCCCTGTCCCCTCCTTACACCCCCCTTTGTATATACAAACATCAACATGCTTAACTACTCACTTTCCCTCCATGTAAGTAGTATTCAGTCTGTTTATATGGAATATGGGAGTTGGGCGAGGAGTCATTTCAGCATATGTCTGATTTATTCAAAGACAAATTTTAAGTAGAACTGTATCCTAAACTGCATTATGATATTGCACCCAAACATTGCATTTCAATGGGAGATTCCACTTCCTTTATAAGACCGGAACAGATCCCTGAAACTCTTACCAATCCGCAAAAGTAGTACATACTCATGCAAATAGTCCCATTGTCTTCAATGGGATTGATCAAATGATTACGGGTTTATGGGATTAGGTTCCAAGTCTGGAAATTGTTCTCGATGAAACTGACCATGCCTCAGCTGTCAGCTCAGAAGCAGCGTCATTCGAATAAAGGTGGGCAGCTGTGTGATAAGTCTTAGCTCCGTTGTTAAGATGAGGAACGTATTTTCAGCAAAGTTCTTGGCAGATGCCTGAGGTTTAAGGCCGTCAGTGTGTGTGGCATTATAACCTTCACTTATAGTTCTCTCACCCACAATGCTGGAAAACGAGGCATTTATTTTCTTTGTTTTGCTGCTCCAGTTCCAGTTAACAAAATGTATGTTAGATTAGTTTGGCTGCAAAGATGAATTCTATGTACACTGGGGACAACACAGAATTCCCATCAGGCTGCAGAACTGGGCTGACATCAGAATCCAAACATCCTCTGGTCAGTGCAAGCAGAGGCATTCCTCTACTGAGCTGGACTTGATGTGATGCAAGATGGATATCATGGATAATTCAGACCAATGGGGAGAAACAGAATCAAAAACACTCTTTAAACAGCTTCCACCCCCCCACCGTTCCCCTCTCGAGGACTCCCGACCAAAGCCTTTGTTTAAGTTTGTTAGCATATATATTGTGCTGCTAAAGACATTTAAAAAATGAATGTCCTCCCTAGCCGTGTTCTGCTCCTTTAAGGAGCAGAGCGCAGACCCACGCCCTCCAGAGGGAGGGGCAGGCTAGCCCCAAGTCTTTCCGGTACTCCGTACCTGCTAAACATTTCTTGCCGGTACTGCATACTGGAGGGGACTGCCCTACCTGCACTGCTGCCTGTCACCCATTCCCAGCTTCTGGTAAAGAGAGGATAGGGCAGGGATGGGCAAACTTTTTGGCCCGAGGGCCACATCTGGGTACGGAAATTGTATGGCGGGCCATGAATGCTCACAAAATTGGGGGTTGGGATGAGAGAGGGGGTGAGGGCTGCGGCTGGGGGTGCAGGCTCTGGGGTGGGGCCAGGGATGAGGGGTTTGGGTTGCAGGAGGGTGCTCCAGGTTGGGATCAAGGGGTTTGGAGGATGGGAGGGGGATCAGGGCTGGGACAGGAGGTTGAGGTGTGGGGGGGAGTGAGGGCTCCGACTGGGGGTGTGGGCTCTGGGGTGGGGCCAGGGATGAGGGGTTTGGGTTGCAGGAGGGTGCTCCAGGTTGGGATCAAGGGGTTTGGAGGATGGGAGGGGGATCAGGGCTGGGACAGGGGGTTAGGGTGCAGGAGGAGGTCAGGGGTGCATGCTCCAGGCGGCACTTACCTCGAGCAGCTCCCAGAAGCAGCGGCATAGCTCTCCTATGCAGAGGTGTGGCCAGGCAGCTCTGCGTGCTGCCCCGTCCACAGGCATCACCCCTGCAGCTCCCATTGGCCATGGTTCCTGGCCAATGGGAGCTGCAGAGCCGGCGTTTGGGGCAGGGGCAGAGTGTGGAGCCCCCTTGCTGCCCCATGTGTATGAACCAGAGGGGGGACATGCCACTGCTTCCAGGAGCCACGCAGAGCCACGGCACTTGCGGAGTAGGTCAAGCCCTTGAACCTGCTCCCTGGCGGGAGCTCAAGGGCTGGATAAAAAGGTCTGATGGGCCGGATGCGGGCCGCGGGCCATAGTTTGCCCACCCCTGGGCTAGAGACACTTCAGAGCAAGGTTTTGCATCCCTGCCCATCCTAGCTAATAGCTACTGATGGACCTAACCTCCATGAACTTATCTAGTTCTTTATGGAACCCTGTTATAGTCTTGGCCTTCACAACATCCTCTGTCAAGGAGTTCCACAGGTTGACTCCATGTTGTGTAAATAAATACTTCCTTTTGTTTGTTTTAATTAATTTCATCTGGTGACCCCTAGTTCCTGTGTTATGAGAAGGAGTAAATAACATTTCCTTGTTTATGTTCTCCACACCAGTCATGATTTTATAGACCTCAATCATATCTTCCCTTAGCCGTCTCTTTTCCAAGCTGAAAGGTACCAGTCTTATTAATCAATCCTCATATGGAAGCTATTCCATACCCTTCATCATTTTTGTTGCCCTTTTCTGTAACTTTTCCAATTCCGATATATATTTTTTAAGATGGGGCGACCAGAACTGCATGCAGTATTCAAGATGGGGGCATACCATGAAGCAATATGATATTTACTGTCTTATTATTTATCCCTTTCCTAATGATTCCCAACATTCTCTTCACTTTTTTGACTGTCACTGCACATTGAGTGGAGGTTTCCAGAGAACTCTCCACAATGACGCCGAGATCTCTTTCTGGAGTGGTGACAGCTAATTTAGACCCCATCATTTTATATGTAGAGTTGGGATTGTGTTTTCCAATGTGCATTACTTCGCATTTATCAAGATTGAATTTCATGGGCCATTTTGTTGCCCAGTCACCCAGGTTTGTGAGATCCTTTTGTAGCTCTTCGCAGTCTGCCTGGGACTTAACTATCTTGAGTAGTTTTGTATCATCTGCAAATTTTGCCACCTCACTGTTTACCCCTTTTTCCAGCTCATTTATGAATATGTTGAATAGGACTGGTCCCAGGACAGACCCAGGGGGACACCACTATTTACCTCTCTCCATTCTGAAAACTGACCATTTATACCCACCCTTTGTTTCCTATCTTTTAACCAGTTACCAATCCATGAGAGAACCTTCCCTCTTATCCCATGACTGCTTACGAGCCTTTGGGGAGCAACCTTGTCACAGGCTTTCTGAAAATCTAAGTACACTATATCCACTGGAACCCCCTTGTCCAAATGCTTGTTGACTCCCTCAGAGAATTCTAGTAGATTGGTGAGGCATGATTTCCCTTTATAAAAAGCCATGTTGACTCTTCCCTAACAAATTCTGTTCATCTATGTGTCTAATAATTCTTTTCTTTATACTATAGTTTCAACCAGTTTGCCTGGTACTGAAGTCAGGCTTAATGGCCTGTAATTGCCGGAATCACCTCTGGAGCCCTTTTTAAAAATTGGCATCACATTAGCTATCCTCCAGTCATCTGGTACAGAAGCTGATGTAAATGATAGGTTACAGACTACAGTTAGTAGTTCTGCAATTTCATATCTGAGTTCCCTCAGAACTCTTGGGTGAATCCCACCCAGTCCTGGTGACTTATTACTGTTTAATTTACCAATTTGTTCCCAAACCTCCTCAATCTGGGACAGTTCCTCAGATTTGTCACCTGAAAAGAACGGGCTCAGATGTGGGAATCTCCCTCACATCCTCGGCCGTGAAGACTGATGCACAGAATTCGGGTTTTCAGCAATGGCCTTGTCTTCCCTGAGTGCTTCTTAACCATCTCGATCGTCCAGTGGCCCCACTGGTTGTTTAGCAGCCTTCCTGCTTCTGATGTACTTCAAACTGTTTCGCCGTTACTTTTGGAGTCTTTGGCTAGCTGTTCTTCACATTCGTTTCTGGCCTTCCTAATTATATTTTTACATTTCGCTTGCCAGAGTTTATGCTCCTTTCTATTTTCCTCACTTAGGCCTGGTCCCCACTAAGCCCCCACTTCGGACTAAGGTACGTTAATAACGTAGCTGAATTCGAAGTACCTTAGTCCGAACTTACCGCGGGTCCAGACGCGGCAGGGAGGCTCCCCCGTCGATGCCGCGTACTCCTCTCGGCGAGCTGGAGTACCGGCGTCGACGGCGAGCACTTCCGGGATCGATCTGGGATCGATTTATCGCGTCTTAACCAGACGCGATAAATCGATCCCAGAACATCGATTGCCTGCCGCCGGACCCTCCGGTAAGTGAAGACGTACCCTAGGATTTAACTTCCACTTATTAAAGGATGCCTTTTTGCCTCTAACTGCTTCTTTTACTCTGCTGTTTGAGCACGGTGGCACTTTTTTGGTTCTCTTACGATGTTTTTTATTTTAATTTGGGGTATAAATACATTCGGGGTATTCGCCTTTATGATGATGTCTTTAGAAAGTTTCGACGCAGCTTGCAGGGATTTCACTTTTGGCAGTGTACCTTTAATTTCTGTTTAAGTAACGTCCTCGTTTTTGTGCAGTTCCCCTTTCTGAAATTAAATGCTACTGTGTTGGGCCGCTGTGGTGTTTTCCCCACCACAGGAATGTTAGATTTTATTATGTTATGGTTACTATTACTAGCTATATTCACCTCTTGGACCAGATCCTGTGCTCCACTTAGGACTACATCAGGAATTGCTTCTCCTCTTGTGGGCTCCAGGACCAGCTGCTCCAAGAAGCCGTCATTAATGGTGTCTAGCATCCTGTCCTGGGGTGACATGTGCCCAGTCAATATGGGGATAGTTGAAATCCACCATTATTAATAAGTTTTTTATTTTTATAGCCTCTCTAATCTCCCTGAGCATTTCACAGTCACTATCACCATCCTGGTCAGGTGGTCAGTAATATATCCCTACTGCTATATTCTTATTGTTAGAGAATGGAATTACATGATGGAATTACTATTACATCATGAGTGATGTGGAGAAAGTGGATAAGGAAAAGTTATTTACTTATTCCCATAATACAAGAACTAGGGGTCATCAAATGAAATTAATAGGCAGCAGGTTTAAAACAAATAAAAGGAAGTTCTTCTTCACGCAGCACACAGTCAACTTGTGGAACTCCTTGCCTGAGGAGGTTGTGAAGGCTAGGACTATAACAGAGTTTAAAAGAGAACTGGATAAATTCATGGTGGTTAAGTCCATTAATGGCTATTAGACAGGACGGGTAAGGAATGGTGTCCCTAGCCTCTGTCTGTCAGAGGGTGGAGATGGATGGCAGGAGAGAGACCACTTGATCATTGCCTGTTAGGTTCACTCCCTCTGGGGCACCTGGCATTGGCCACTGTCGGTAGACAGGATACTGGACTAGATGGACCTTTGGTCTGACCTGGTACGGCCTTTCTTATGTTCTTATGTTCTTATGTACTATGCATAGAGATTCTTTGGTACAGTTTGGTTCATTTAAGATTTTCGCTTCCTTTGATTCTACGCTTTCTTTCACATACAATGCCACTCCCCCACCAGCACGACCTGGTCTGTCCTTCCGATATATTTTGTACCCTGGTATTACTGTGTCCCATTGATTATCCTCATTCCACCAAGTTTCTGTGACGCCTATTAAGCACTGTCCTCATTTAATATGGGGCACTCTAGTTTGCCCATCTTATTATTTAGACTTCTAGCATTGGTCTAGAAGCACCTGTCACTTTTTCGCAGGGTGGATAAAAATCAATGATTTAAAAAAAAAAAAAAATACTGATTTTTTTTATTGAAATCGGATTTTTTTTTTTGATAAAATGCTTTTTGAGGAAAAAACCTATCTAAAGATAGTTTTAATTATGATGATGATGGGCGATCACTCGTTATCAAGTATGATCATCTTCCATGGGAGTTATGGGTCCTCAGGTGGCTAATAAGACCAATCCTTGAACCACAAGTTCTATTACAACGAGAGCAGATGTTTTCAGGCTCAGCGGGAAGCTGTTGACCATGACTGGAGACCAGTCTCTCCTTCCTCCTGTCCTCTTTGTCTTGTCAGCGAGCAAGTTCAAAATGCAGGGGACCATCACGTAGGACTTCACTCCATTTTAAGCAATCCTGGGCAAGTGTCTCCCAAGGATCAACATCAATATTACATTTTTTTAGGTTGTCCTTAAGCAAGTCCTTATAACGCTTCCGTTGTCCACCCATGTGATGGTACCCCTCTTTCAGCTGAGAGAACAGGACCTGTTTTGGGAGGCGATGATCTGGCATCTGGACAATGTGACCCAGTCCAATGGAATCATTGCCTTGATACTGGTGGTCTTTGCCTCTTCCAGAACACTAATATTGGTGTGCCTGTCTTCCCCTTTGATCTTCAGAATCTTACGAAGGCAGCGTTGCTGGTACCTCTCAAGGACTTTCAAGTGGTGTCTATGGGTTGTCCAAGTTTCAGACCCATACAACAGTGTTGGGAGAATAACAGCTTGATAAACAAGAAGCTTGGTGTCTGTTTAAATGTCGTGATCTTCAAAGACCCTGTGCTGTAAATGAGAAAAGGCTACACTGGCACAGCTCAGGTGATGTTGAATTTCTGCATCAATATCTGCCTTGGATGAAAGATGACTTCAGAGAATATCAGGGTTGGAAGGGACCTCAAGAGGTCATCTAGTCCAACCCCCTGCTCAAAGCAGGACCAGCCCCCAGATGGATTTTTGCCCCAGATCCCTAAATGGCCCCCTTAAGGATTGAACTCACAACCCTGGGTTTAGCAAGCTAATGCTCAAACCACTGAGCTAACCCTCCCCCCTCCAAGGTAGAGGAAATGATCAACATTCTCCAGTGCCACTCCATTGATTTTGATAGCTGGGGCATGTAATACCTCATTTGAAGAGGGCTGATAGAGCACTTTAGTCTTCTCGATATTAAGAGTGAGACCAGGCCCTGCGTAAGCATCGGCAAACGCATTCAAGATAGTGTGAAGATCTTTCCCAGAGTGGGCAAAGATTGCGTTGTCCTCAGCGTACTGAAGTTCCACAATAGAGGTTGTGAAAATGTTACTCTTGGCTTTCAGCCTGCTAAGCCTGAAAAACTGTCCGTCCATTCTGTGAGTGATTTCAACGCCAGCTGTAAACTTCCCAGCAACTAGGTAACGAATGACAGCAATAAAAACCGCAAACATGGTTGGAGCGATGATACAGCTCTGTTTGACTCCTGTTTGTGCTTTGAAAGGTTCGCTCTGGGAGCCAGTGCTGCTCAGAACAGTCACTTTCATGTTATCATGAAGCAATTTTAGGACATTGATGTATTTATCAGGACATCCAATCTTAGAGAGTACAGTCCAGAGGGCACGGCGATTCAAAAAGCTTTAGTTAGATCAATAAAAGCCACGTACAGCGGTCGGTTTTGCTCCTGACACTTTTCTTGCAGCTGCTGTGCTGTGAAGATCATATCTGCAGTGCAACGACATGGTCAGAAACCACTCTGTGACTCCGGTAAAATTTCTTCTGATGGGGCAGAAGGCGGGTTGCAAGGATCCGTGCCAGAACTTTGCCTGCAGTGGCTAGGAGGGAGATACCATGATAATTTCCACAATCCACTTTATCCCCTTTCTTGAAGAGGGTGACCATCAAGGCATCCCTCATTTCACCAGGTATCTCCTCCTTTATCCAGATTTTAAGGATAAGCAGGTAAAGCTGGTGAATTAGCTCTGGTCCACCGTTTTTGAAGATTTCAGCGGGGATCCCATCTAGACCTGCTGCCTTGTTGTTCTTCATCTGCATGGTGGCATCGTGTACCTCATACAAACTGGGAGGGTCTCCGAGCTCGTCCCTAAATGGTCGTTGAGGGATTTGCTCAAGAACTTCATCTACAACCATAGAATTACGGTTAAGGAGATCGTCAAAACGTTCTTTCCAACGAGAATTGATGGCTTCGTTGTCCTTCAGAAGTGTGGTTCCGTAATTAAGATCCATTATAGCTCAAAGATATAGGAATAGGGATTATAAATTCTAATTCTATAGTATGAGACAATATATTCATGTCATGTTTAAGAAAAGTTTTGTACATGAGTTCCAATAGTTCATGGATTAGGGACCCAAACTTATGGGGTTCCAGGGGCTTCTGTATAGATTATTTAGGTTAATCTTTCTATCTACCCAATGGGACGCAGTGCTCAGTCTAGAAGATACCATCAGAGATGCTTAGTTTTGCAGTTCTCAAATGGTGGATTTGTGTTTCCAGAGATAACATGCTTGTTAACCGCAAAAATGTTTTTAAATAAATAATATAGAGAGATGAGAAATAACAGACCTATTGTTCCTCTGCAAATTTGCGTACACAGAGTCAATCCCTTTCCTCTCTCTAAAAGTGCAAAGTTTCAAAAAGTTCAATGAATCGAAGAGTGTTGGGGGCGGAATAGATCTGGATTAGGAGAAGAAGTCTGGAGATAAATGTGAGAAGCGAGGGACATATGCTTGGTTTGTTAAAATATTGTCTGTTTGCTGTTGAAAAAAAAGCCAGAATACTTAATGTTGTTGTTTTAGTTAAATAAAACAATTTAAATGTCTGTCTGGTGATGTTCTCCTCCTAATCCAGCATGGCAAGAAAATCCTCCAAATATTAATGATTAACCTGTTGAATTGGAGATAGTTCACCTCCCAATGACTTCATAAATATCTGCTCCAATTACCTTTGGTAAATGAAATAACCAAACCATCATTCATTTTCTGATATAGCTGTAAAACTAATCTGAAAAGTTTTCGAAATAAATCACTGTTCTAAAAATCTATAGTGTGTACCTTCTAAAAATGAAACCTACATCTATCTCTGAGTTGTGAAGAATATGTATTAAGGTTATAACAACCAACAAGAATGCACTTTTATGTAGAAATCCATGATTAAATCGAGTCTTCCTGACTAGTGATTTAAATCAAATCCACCCTGCTTTTTAGCTGTCTCCCATTACGTGATGTAATTAAATGGACCTCTTTTTCATTTGACTGTTTCTCATCAGATCCTACCCATATTTTATCATCTTCCATCCTCTCCTTCTTACTAGGACATAGAGAATCTCCATTAATAGATCCTCCCCTAAGGGATGTCGCTGTTGGCTTTCCCCCGCCCTTAGTTTAAAAACTGTTCTACGACCTTTTTAATTTTATGTGCCAACAATCTGGTTCCATTTTGGTTGAGGTGGAGCCCATCCTTCCTGTATAGGCTCCTCCTTTCTTAAAAGGTTCCCCCAGTTCCTAATAAATCTAAACCCCTCCTCCCTACACCATGGTCTCATCCACGCATCGAGACCCTGCATCTCTGCCTGTCTAACTGGCCCTGCGTGTGGAACTGGGAGCATTTGAGCGAATGCTACCATGGAGGTTCTGGACTTCAATCTCTTACATGGGCAGTGGGTGAAGCTTTCCCATGGGGGAGGTAAGCTCCCTGTCCCGCCTCTTCCGCCCTCAGCCCCAGCCACACTCCATGCACCCCCGCCTGGCCTCCTCCCTGCTCAGCCCCCCTGCCCGGTTGCAGTGTTCCTCCTCCCCACCTAGCCCGTGGCGAGACCCCCCCCCAGCCTGCCGTTCGCCACTGGCTCACTGCATCCCTCCTCGCTCCCCCGCCAGACCCTCCTCTCGCTGCGAGACATCCCCCACCCTCCCGTGGGGGGTGGAGAGTGAGGAGGGATGCTGCGAGCGGTGGGGACCTTGGGAGGTCGGGGTGGAGTAGAAGAAGACTTGCCAGGCAGCAGCAGGCGGTGGGGGCCTCGGGGAAGGGGCGGAGCAGGGAGGGGAAGAGGCGGGGCCACCACGGTCCTGGTGTCCGCCGGTGGCTGCACCTTCCCTGGCCTATTATCCCCACCGCCTGTGATCTCTTACCCTGAACATCTTAGAACATCATCATGGTAGGCTTTCGTATTGGGCCATGCCTGGTGCCCAGACTGATGTCTCTCCATGCCCCGTGTGGAGCACAGGGTGCGGTTGTATCCACCGCCCCATCTCGTAGCTGGCCCGCTAGAGGATAACAGCCTACTGCTGCCACCGGCGATGGGAGCCGCTCCTTTAGCTTCGGCAGCAGACCTGCTATGCTGGGAGTTCAACGGCTGCCGAAATCCCACGCAGGGGCTAGTGAACCTGGGTGATAAAGCGCCGCTGGGCCTCACCCCAGAGGCAGCATCCCGCAGCAGGCACTTGATACGGAGAATGGTTCTGGCTCAGCCCGTAAAGTGACCCGCCATGAGTCCCTTTCATTTCCCCCTCCTGCCCTTTGGTGCCCTCGCTCTGTCTGTCTGTGCAGCACATGGTGGATTCCCACAGGCTAATATACCATAACAATAGCAGCTGACTTCTTGCTTGAGAATACCTCCGGGAAGGCAGGCAGGGAACAGTGGGAGGAGGCGGGGGGGGGCGGGCAGGGACATAGGCCCTGGGGAGCCCGAGACAATCCTCTGGAAATCAAAAGAGCACCAAATACTCTCACGCGAGCGCTGGGTGCTGAGGGGCTGATGACAGGCTGAAGGGGAAGACTATGCTGTCATTGTAAGGGGCGGCTGGTGGGTTAAATTTAGGGCGGCGGCAAAAGCAGGAATGTTCCCAGGGTTTTGTTGCTTTCTCGCTTTGCTTTTCTTTCCCCCCACTCAGAACAGGTTGGGGTTTTTCCCCCTCCCTTCCTCCTTTATGGGAAGTCACTTCCCTCCTTGCTGCAGCTGGAATAGCAAACATCTGGCCGGCTCGGGAAAGTGGCGAACGAAAGGGGTGCCAAGCGGCCGGTTTTCATCATCCCCCCAAGGGAGGAGCGGATCTTCCTCTCCAGCGCAGTGGATTTCGGCACCACTTCAGCTGAGGAGGAAATCCATATTATTGTTCCCGGCGCTGCACAGACCCCAACCAAGATCAAGGCCAGGGGAGGTGGAGCCTTCCCTAAAGTGGGGGTGCCCGCTCCTCTTCCGCCCAAGCCCTGCCAAGCCGGAAGCCGGAGCAGGCCAGGAGCGGCGGATCCTCTACCTGCTCAGGGTGGGGGGGCCCGAGAGCAGCCCCCGGCCCGTGTCCCTGCCCTACGGACCCCCGCCCTGGGCAGGTGGAGGGTCTGCGGCTCCCCACAGCTGCCTGGGCTCCCAAGCCTGGCTCCTGCTGCCGGCCTAGCCGTGGGGGACCCGGGGGGGGGGGATTTTGGGGTGGAGAGGAGGAGCAGGAGCGGGGTGGGGCCCATGGTGAAAAGTGGACATGACAGGCTCATCCACTTTCAAAAACTGGGAGGGGCAGGGCCCCCTCCCGCCCTATTCCGAGGCCCTGCTCAGGGCCCCCATTGTGCCAGGGACCCTGTCCGAGATCAAGGCCCTGTGGTGGGGTGTGCACCCCACACAGGACTGGAAGGGGTTAAGATTCAGGCCAACCAATTAGCTCCACGGGCTGCACCTGGAGGAGGAGCCAATTGGAAGCAGGCTCAGCTGGGCAGGAACAGGTGGGGCCTGTATAAAGCCAGGTAGCTGGCAACAGAAGGCAGCTGCAGGGAGGTGGGCTGCAGGGACGTCCCTGGGAGGAGGGAGTTGGGAGGCTGGCAAACCCAGGCAGGTAGGAGAAGGCTCAGGGGACTAGCAGTGCAGACCCTGAGCTGGAACCCGGAGTGGAGGACGGGCCTGGGTGCCCCTCCCAGCCACCTGGGACGTGGCACAAGCCAGGCAGAGGACAGCAGACTGCCTGGGAGGCCTGGACAACCTTTGTTACGGCTTCCCTGGCAAGGGGGAGGACGTAGGGTGACCTGGCCGGAGGGCTGAGTCCTGAAGAGGAGGCTGCGGTTCCTGGAGTGAGAGTGGGACAGATCCTGCCGGAGGGGCGGGGGGCACAATGGCTGGCCAGAGCTAATCCCCGGGATGGCCAGTAGGAGGCGCCACTAGCAGTGAGTGCACCCTGAGGCCAGGGCACTGGACTGGGCACGGGGCTCCCGCCCGAGGCCAGGGCCCCGCTGACCCAGGATGTGAGCCAGTCCCGGCCCAAAGAGCTTCCAGTCCAAGTCAACAGGCAAGACAGAAACCCTCTCCCCATTTCCCCGCTGGGTGAATGAAGCTCGGAGAAGGGGAGGGACGTGCCTGGGCCGCACAAGGCGTCCGTGGTAGAGCTCAGCCTTGAACCGACAGCTCCTGAGCGCCAGCCGCAGGACGGCACTGCCTCTCGTCGCTCCTTCCACCTGGAGCAGCTGCTCCACAGAGGGGGTCAGCGCGTGTGGGACACGTGACCGCTCAGGGGGGCCCACTTCTGATTCTAACGCCCCTGCCTTTGGCACCGGGGGGGGGGCTGGTGATGCCAGGAGTAAAGAGGGACATGTCAAAAGAACCCACTCTGCTCAGGAGCGGGCAGGGTCCTCTCCCTCCTTTCAGCTGCTGGCCTTACGGCTTCTGCTTTAACACAGGATCCCAGCTGGGTCCCGTTAAGGCCAGGGTCTGTGCCAGCAACGCCGCTCCAAGCCACCGGGCGCTCTGCCTCCTGCAGCCAGACGCTGCCTCTGGATTTACTCCCAGCATCTCCGACACCAGGGCTGCGTCACTCCAGCCGCAGGGAACGGTCTGGGTTTGGCGGGCCCGGCCCCACCCGGGAGCAGACAGACCGAGCCAGACGATCCGCTTCGCAGCGGGCACAGCTTGTGCATCTCTAGTGATTTCCAGGAAGTCACGCCGATGCCTTCCATGGGTTCCTACCAGTTTGTACGTGTGTATTTTATCAAACAACCACGGGGCAGAGCAGCAATGCTGTGGGGTCTAGCGGTTCGAACAGGGGTGGCCAAACTTTTTGGCCCGAGGGCCACATCTGGGTATGGAAATTGTATGGCAGGCCATGAATGCCCACAAAATTGGGGGTTGGGGTGCGGGAGGGGGTGAGGGCTCCATCTGTGGCTGTGGGATCTGGGGTGGGGCCAGAAATGAGGAGTTCAGGGTGCAGGAGGGGGCTCCAGGCTGGGACTGAGGGGTTTAGAGGGCAGGAGAGGATCAGGGCTGGGGCAGGGGGTTGGGGCACAGGAGGGTGTCAGGGTGTCAGGGTGCTTCGGGCGGTGCTTACCTCAAGCAGCTCCCAGAAGCAGCAGCATGTCCCCCCTCCAGATCCTATGCAGAGGTGCGGCCAAGCGGCTCTGCGCGCTGCCCTGTCCGCAGGCACCACCCCTGCAGCTCCCATTGGCCACAGTTCCCAGCCAATGGGAGCTGCGGGGGCAGCACTTGGGACAGGGGCAGCATGCAGTGCCCCCAGGCTGCCCCTACGCATAGGAGCCGGAGGGGGGACATGCCGCTGCTTCCGGAAGCCGCACGGAGCGGGACAAGCACCGGACCCCACTCCCCGGCGGGAGCTCGAGGCCGAATTCAAATGTCTGGAGGACCAGATGTGGCCCCTTGGCTGTAGTTTGCCCACCCCTGGGTTAGAGCAAAGAATTGGTTTTCAGACATATGGGTTTTTCCAGATCCCAGTTTTGGGCTAGAAGGGGAGTGGGGTCAAGTGGTGTAGAGCGAGGGGAGGGTGAATCAGGACTCCTGGGTTCTATTCCTGGCTTGGTTTGTGGCCATGGCCGAATCCTTTCCCCACCTGTAAAGCAGCGCTCATGGTCTTGCCCCTTTGTTTGGAAGTGTGTCACACCCTCTTGGGTCAGCAGCAATCCGGGAATGTGTTGAACGCGCTTTGCCAGGTCTGGTACGCACCTGGGGGAAGCCCTTCTCCTGAGCCACGACTAACCAAATTCCCAGCTCCCATATGCATCTGGGGCTGCTTATCAAGGCACGTGGATGCAATAGCCCATGTGCTGCGACCGCATGTAAAGCCCTCTTCAGTTCTCAGGAACTGGCTTCTGTCAGTCATGACGTCCTTTCACTTTCATGCGCTGACGGTGCCGCGGACACATTTAGGGTTATATTTTTCTAAAAGGGCTGATGATTTCGGAGGCCCAACCGAAAACCCCCTAAAGGGGCCTGATTTTTAGATATTCGGAGTAACCCCTAGCCCTCAGAATCGGTTGATCTCAAAGAGGGAGAAATTCAGAGATGCTGTGGAGGAGAAGGGCAAGTTGGTTCTCATGGTAGGAGACCTGGAGCACGAACAGGACGACTTTGTGGGCCCAGCTACGACAGTTCTGGGGGAGAAGGTACCTTCCCACTCAAGAGTTGCAGTCTTGAGCGGGAGGGTTTGTGAGGGGGTGTTCACCCCACACAGGACAGGAAGGTGGCCAGGTAGGCCTATTAACTCCACAGGCTGCAGGGAAAAGCCAGGGAGTAGATTGCAAACAGGACCACCTGGGCAGGAACAGGCAGGGCCTATAAAGAAAGGAAGCTGGCAACAGACAGGGGCTGCAGTGCTGGGAATGGGAAGCCACTCCCTGGGCATTGGAAGTTGGAGGGGGTACACCCAGAGAAAGCGGGGGGATTAAGGAGTGGCGGGAAGCAGTCTGGGGAAGGAGCAGGGAGGGCAGAGAGACTACAGCCCAGAACTGCTGTGTTGAGGGGTCCGGGTTCCCCTACCCGCCTCCGGGGAAGTGGCACTGGCGGGCTAGCGAACGGGAAGACTGCCTGGGTTACTGTGGGAGCGACAGAGAACGTGAAGGACCCCGGAAGGGGAAACCACGGCCGTGATCGAGCCGGAGGGCTGAGTCATAAAGAGGCAGCTGTGGTTCCTGGACTGAGCGAGGGGCTGCAGAGAGACGACGCGATGACGGGCGAACTGTGGGAAGGGGCGTAGCACCTGGCAGAGCTAATCCCCAGGACAGCCAGGGAGAGGCGCTAGCCAGTGATGAATAGAGCACCCCATGACACTGGAGTCAGACCAATGGTCCATCTAGCCCAGTGTCCTGTCTTCCGACAAGGGCCACTGCCAGATACTTCAGAGGGAATGAACAGAGCACAGAAATTATCAAGTGATCCATCCCCTGTCATCCCATCCGAGCTTCTGGCAGTCAGCAGTTTAGGGACACCCAGAGCAAGGGGCTGCATCCCTGAGCATCTTGGCTAATAGCCATTGATGGACCCGTCCTCCAGGAACTTATCCAGTTCTTTTTTGAACCCAGTTATACTTTTGGCTTTCACAGTATCCCCTGGCAGCGAGTTCCACAGGTTGGATGTGCGCTGGGTGAAGAAATACTTCCTTCTGTTCGGTTTAAACCTGCTGCCAATTGATGTCATTGGGTGGCCCCTGGTTCTTGTGTGATGTGAAGGGGTAAATAACCCTTCCCTAGTTACTTTCTCTACACCGATCATGATTCTATAGACCTCTGGCCTATCCCCTCTTTGTCGGCTTTTTTTCCAAGCTGAACGGTCCCAGGCTTTTAAATCTCTCCGCAGATGGAGGCTGTCCCATACCCATCTGCAAAAAATAACCCTTCATACTATAACTTATATAGTGCTACTATAACTTAGCTAGTCCACTCTCGGGCCATCTTTCTGCTGTCTTTGTACATCACCTGGCACAATGGGGGCTGGCTCCTCGGTTCTAACACAAAATTAAGAATAAATAACGGACTACAGCATCAGGGAAAGGAATAGATCCCAGATGTCCTGAACACCGGTCCTCTCCTCTAACCACTAGTCTCCATTCCCGTCCAGCCCCAGGATGGGAACCCAGGCATCCTGCGCGCCAGCCGCCTCCTCTCACGGCTCGTTCTCTCCTGGCTGCACATTGCGCAGAATGACCAGGCCGCCCTGTGTTTCTTGATGGCTTCACGCGCCCCAGGGACAGAGCGAGTGGAAAAGCGTGACCAGCAGAGCCTGGTTCGTAGCTTGACTGTGATCTCAACCCTGACGCGTGCCAACAGACCCGGGGCGGTATCTCTGTATGTGCGTCACTCGCGTAGGCAGAGTCAAATTGGTTCAGCCAACCTCATTCATAGACCATGGGGACTTTGATAAGCTCGGGGGACTTCCTAGCTTAACAAGAGCCTAATCAAAGCCCGGACAAATGGCTAAAAGCCAAGGAAATTTACAGGAAACAAACCTCGAATCGCTCGTTAGACTGGACCGTGGCTGCTATGGGGTTAAGAGGCAGCGGCACTTATCCCCATCCACCCACCCTGAAAAAGGTCAAGAGAAACAAATATTATTTTTTGAACAAGCTTCTCAAACCCCCAAAATGTTCTTTTGCAGCAGCCAAAAACCAACATGTTTTTCAATTTAAAACAGATACCGCAAACTCAGCTATTTTCAATGGAAAAAAATAACACTATGAGGAAACTGAGGGGGAGTGGCTTGCCCAAAGTCAGCCAATGGCAGACTCTGGAATAGAACCCTGAGTTCTTGAGTCTCAGGCCACTAGGCCACGCTGCCTTTAAAACAGCATGTGATAAAGGGAGGGGGATAGCTCAGTGGTTTGAGCATTGGCCTGCTAAATCCAGGGTTGTGAGTTCAATCCTTAAGGGGGCCACTTAGGGACCTGGGACAAAATCAGTACTTGGTCCTGCTAGTGAAGGCAGGGGGCTGGACTTGATGACCTTTCAAGGTCCCTTCCAGTTCTAGGAGATGGGATATCTCCATAAATTTAAAGACTGCTCCCAGTGATGCACACAAGGTGGGGCAGCATTAAGGTTATGGGGACATCCTTAAACCTAGTGCTTGGTAACAGCTGTGTGCTTGTCTTTGCAAGCTTGATACAGTTCTTTTAGTGTCACTTTTGGTGGATGTGATTAACTACAACCAAAGGAAAGAGTCGGGGGCGGGGGGTGGAGAGGAGGAACTAAGACTCCCCCACCTGCCCAGCAGGAGATACCCAAGAGGCAGGTTAGAGGGTGAGGTGGCCATGTTTGTTGTGGGCATGGGGTTCTGAAGCCAGGAGCAAGGTGGGGAGAACGTTAGAGGGTGAGGCAGCCATGTTTTATTGTGGGCATGGGGTTCTGAAGCCAGGAGCTAGGTGCGGAGAAGGTTAGAGGGTGAGGCAGCCATGTTTGTTGTGGACGAGGGGTTCTGAAGCTGTTTTCTGAAGCAGATATGCTGAGGAACTAAATGCAAAGGCCATTTTCAGGGCAGCACCCGAGTATGGATCTGGGGGATCTGGCCAGTGAGTCTAGAGCTGGGCAAACAACAGATTTTTTTTCCAGTCCACTGGCAATTTCAAAAACTCAAGGGGAGTGGGGGGGGGGGAATCATTTGGAGTCAAACCAAAAATGAAATTTTTCGACCAATTGAAAAGTTGGGGAAAAAATGAGGGTTGGGGCAAACGCCACATTTCACGTGGACAAAATTTAAATTTTTCACTAAAAAGTAGTTTTAGCCAAATTTTTTTGCCAACGCCGACCGAGAGCCCAGCTAGAGTCTCTTCAGAGGCCCTTATGCATCCTGTTCTATTGTCTCCAAGCCCCTCCACCAACACGAATGCCAGCAGCAGGTGTGTGATCAGTAGCGGGTCAATTTCCCTGGGTAGATGGGGGCCTTTGGCAGCCCAGGCCAGTCCCACTCGGGGGGGAGGACTTGGCAAGGTCTGAGGAGCACTCGAGAGGCCCTCGGGAATGGGACAAAGCGTTAGTTCAAGGAGCAGATGGAAGCAGCATCGTGCAATGGTTAGAGCACAGCACTGGGACTGACTGCGTTCCCTTCCCAGCTCTGTCTCTGCGTGGGAGGCCGCAGGCGCACTCCTTTCCCGTCTCCGTGCCTCAGTTTCTCTAGCTGTAAAACAGAGAGGAGGCTGCCCCGAAATCTCCGGCCAGAAAACACAAAGCACAGTTCGCAAGGCTCAGGGCCAGCACAGGCTAAAGGTTGAGTTGATGCTTCAGCTCCATGTGTGGTTCGGGACGACGCTGCTCCCACCATCTGCCCAGTGGGAGATCCCACCCGGAGCTCAAGCCTGCCATACATTTTCTTTGTCCCCGCCAGCCGCTAGCACTGGCGGCTGATTGCGTAAGCCCCCAGGGGTGCAGCTTCCCTCGCTCTCCCGCCGCAGAGCTGGCAGACCAGGAGGGGGCGCTACAGCCTCTCACGGCACGGGCAGGCCAGGACACGGGAGTGGCCAGCTAGCCCGCAAGGCTTATAATAATTACTTTATTTTAACATCTTTAATTACAGACAGTAAAATAGCTCGAGAGGTGGCGGTGGGGGGCGGGCTCCTGGATCCGGTGGTGCGCACGACGACACCCAAGTGCTTTGGTCGCATCTGCATGTGGCACAATAGGCCGGTCGCTCTTCCTCGAGGAGATGCCCAACGCTCCCCAGGCTCAGAGAAGGGGGCAAAGGTGGGGGTGGGCAAGTGAGGTAAAGCACCCCGAGAAATCCAGTCTGCTGCCCCCACTGCCCCTGCTACACACACACACACCCACACACTCCCGGCCTGAGTTGGAGGCTGGGCCTCTGCCAGCCCAACACCCACACACCTATTGCTTATTTGTAAGGCTAAGATTAGGGCACGGGTTCCAGGACTTCCTGAGACCTCCGTGACATTTTCTGCTTCAGCCCTTGGGCGGTGGGACTTCAGCTGTCAGCCAGCAGGGGGCCCCCTGGAGCTCTGAGCCACCATGGTGGGGGGAGGCAGCCCGCCACAGACCTCCCGCCCTTACCTCCCCTGCAGCAGGGCTCGGGTTCTCATCCCACCCGTCAGCCGCATTTTGTCACAGCTCTGTTGAGCGAAAGCCAGGGACAGGTCACAGGCTTCTGAGAATTTTTGTTTATTGCTTGTGACCCGTCCCCGGCTTTTCCTAAACAAACTGACAGTCTTAACCTTACTTCTTTGTTGTGGCGGGCTGGAGGCAGACGCCTGGGGAGGAGGAATGTCTCACGGGGAGGGAGGGGCGTATGCTGCCCCTGTCCTCTGGAGCAGGGAGCTACATGCCTCAGATCAGAGAGCTCACACGGGACCTAGAAGAGGGGCACTCTGGGGTGAGAGCGCTCCTGGGAGACTGGCAGCTGGGGGTCCTGGATCCAGATCCCAGCAGCTGGGGGTCCTGGGACCCAGAACCCAGTATTAGAGAAGTCCTGTAAGACTGGTAGCCAGGGATCCCAGGCCCAGATCCCAGCAACTAGGGGGCCTGGGAGCCAGATCCCGGTATTTGAGAGCTCCTGAAAGACTGGCAGCCAGGGGTCCTGGGGCCCAGATCCCAGCAGCCAGAGGTCCCGGGGCTCAGGTCTCGGTATTAGAGACCTCGTCAGACTAGCAGCTGTGGGTCCTGGGACTCATCCTGGCAGCCGGGGGTCCTGGGACCCAGATCACAGCAGCCAGGGGTTCCGGCCCCAGATAACAGCAATCAGCAGCCAGGGGTCCCGGGGCCCAGATCCCAGCAACCAGGGGTCCCGGAGCCCAGGTCTCGGTATTAGAGACCTCGTCAGACTGGCAGCTGGGGGTCCTGGGACTCAGATCCCAGCAGCCAGGGGTTCCAGCCCCAGATATCAGTATTAGAGAGGTCCTGTGAGACTGATAGCCAGGGGTCCCGGGACCCAGATCCCAGCAACCAGGGGTCCCAGGGCCCAGGTCTTAGTATTAGAGAGCTCTTGTCAGACTGGCAGCTGGGGATCCCGGGCCCAGATCCACCGAGCACAGACTGCCTCCAAGGATGTGATCTTTGATCCCTACTGGGCCGAGCTCTCACCCCCCCCCCCCCCGAGCTGAGCCAGTGAGTGCCTCCGAAGCTGGTGAAAGTAGAGCCCTGCCTGTCCACCCTGGGTTTCTGATGCAGAGGGAGAGGATGACTATGGATGGGACCCCCCCACGCCGACACCTTGCTGCTGCTCGTCCCCTGATCCTAACCTCTGAGCCCACCTAGCCCCCTCGCCTCTCCTGAAACCCCCAAGCCCAAAGACCACCCGTCAGAGACACGCCTCAAAGCCAGAGCACTTGGGGAAGGGAGGGGAGGCCTCCGTGCTCCACCCTGCAAGCCAATACCGTCTGCCGGGAGAGATCGGGCCGCAGACAGAGCCGGCTTAGGTCCAGCGGCCTCTCTGCTCCAGGCCGGAGTCTGAGCGAGCCCTGGGAATAAATACAATCTTTCCAATATATTAAAAAAAAATACTCCTGCCTCTCGGCTGTGCGGCGCCAGCTCACGGCAACACTACAAATGGGCTCGGCGTGGGGGGAAGAGAACCACGGCAACCCCCCCGCCCCGCCCTCGTGATGGACGCTCCGGCGCCTGGGCAGCCTGGGCTGATGGCAGAAGAAAGTAAAAAGGCCGAGGGGCCGTCTCTGCCTAGCATGGGGGGCCTCCAGGCGGGGGCGGTGGTGACCGGGGAGGTTACATCATCCCCAGCTGGAGGAGAGTGTTGGCGTAGGCCATCGGTTTGACGTTCGGGTGAGGCTGAAAGAGAAGAGGCAGCCAGGTTAGGGCCCGGCGGGGCTCTGGGGGCAGCACTGTCCCCCCTCCCGTGGTATCTGCAGAGCCCCCCGCCCACTCCGGGGAGCAGGAGCACAAACCAACAGGCTGTGGGGAGACTGCGATGGTAATCAAGGTGCTGGCTAGGGGGCGCTGTCCTCTCTCAAGCAATGTCCCAGTGTGGCACTAAGGGGCGCCATGCTCCAGGGAGCAGGGTGGGGGGCGCTCTCCCCTGGCAGTCAATGCTGGCCCCAATCTCCTGGAGCAGCAGTAGGGGGCGCTGTGCTGCAGGGCGTGTTTTTGGGGGTAATAGATAATATCAAGGTCTTGATTGCTTGTGGTTGTCAGAGGTGAAATGGGATCTCCCCTCCACACCCGAGCTGGGGCATTTGCCTCTTCCCAGATAAATTCTAATTGGAGAAATATGTTCAGTGTCCCTATGTCAGGCCCAGGGTTTCTGTTCACTTTCAGCCCTGAACGGGGGTGGTTTTGCTGACAGCTGTTGGCAAACTTCTGTGCTTCACAGCTGTGCTTCTGCGCGGGGGGAAGTGACTGTGACGCACACACGCTGAGCCATTAAGCACTTTGGGATCTCAGACGCAGGGCCCGCTCCAAGTTTTTTGCCACCCCAAGAAAAAAAATTTCCTGTGCTCCCTGGTCCCGCCCCAACTCTGCCCCTTCCCCACCCCATTCCAACTCCTTCCCCAAATCCCCGGCCCCGCCTCCTCCCCCTGGCACGCCGCATTTCCCCTCCTACCCCTCCCTCCAGGAGGGAGAGGGGAGAAGCGGAGCGGCGGCGCGCTCAGGGGAGCAGGCGGCAGTGGAGCAGAGGTGAGCTGAGGGGGAGTAGTTCCTCTGCCGCCCC